TGACCAAAAATTCTAAAATTCACATAAAATAGGATAAGAATGTAAAAAACAACAGTAGCAAATAAATCAGAACATTAAAAAATATAAGATAAGAGGTAAAAAAAATTATAATATAAGTAAACTAAAATAAGATAAAAATGTAAAAAAAACAAGAGTAGCAAATAACTCAGAACATGACATTTACTGCACATTTACTGCACATGAAACAGGACAAAAAGTACACAACAATCACAACACGGCAAATTAAAACAAGCATATGGTGAAAAATATCCATAAACCAGGTTGTTAACATTATTTTGTAGATGTAGATGAAGAAAAACAACACTTTCCCTCTAATTCACATCTGCTTCCTACCTGGATCTGCTCCTGGTGGCAAACTGAATTTTTGTGGCCCTGTGGTAAGGCTGGTCCAGACTGGACTCCTTCCACGGAGAGTTYTGGATGGGAGAGCGCTCATACTCCACACCGGTCTGCCCTGAAGACTCATGGGACGACTGCAGGGTCTCATCTGACAACTGGAGGGGGTCTGAACAGGAAGTGCCCAGCATTGCAGGTGAGAGGGGGAATGAGGAGTCCACGTCTACGACGGATAAAAAAAAAATACAACAAACACAAAGTTATGGAAATAAAATAAGAACTAAACGTGCTGATACACTGATATTAATTCAAAATTAAATATATATTACTTAAAACTGACCAGGCACTGTTAAACTGGATGAATCTCAGCTTGTTTCTTTAAAGCTTATCAACAATTTTGCACCAAAATCTCCCYCAATATGGAGTTCATAACTTTTTTTCACTAAATGTTGTTAAATTGTGTTTCTTAGGATATARATATGACTTTAACTCACCCTCATCCAGAGCCACCACATCAGAGAGGGAGCTGTCATCAGACATGCACATATCTGTACAGAAAACACGTGTCAGTGTTTCTGTCGCAGTGTTACACTGATTACCCTGAAGGGGGCAGCAGAGGGGCTCACCTTTGTTTTGGCTGCTTGACATGGAGACGGATGGTGAATTGCACTCGCTCTTGATTCTGTGCTGAAGCACGGCCTCCTGCAGGTCCTTCACTTTCTTCTCCTCCCTTCTGCACTGCTGCAGCCTGTTCTTCTTCTGTGGTTTAGTGAGGTTGCCTTCGAGGGAGAGCTTACGGGCCGCCTCGTAAATCTGTCGCTGGACCGCCAAGTCRGTCTCTAGCGCTTGTAACTCTGAATCCTACAATGAAAAAAACTAACTGAAACTCAGAGTTCAAGCGAAAGAATGACAGTTCACGTCTTTTCTTTGTGTAAAAATGATATACAGGATGTACCTGTTGATCCTGAAGGATCAGCTCTTCGTCCAGTTTGAACGACGCTCCAATYCTCCTTCGAACCCGAGGCGGCTTCTCGTCAGGCATCAGAGGATAGTCTGAAGGAAGTGTGCCTGTTAGCTCCTGTACACACACATGCAAAAAAAATATTAAAAACAAAATGAAGCGAAAACCACAGCGTCTCTGTGTTGCAGAGGTCACTTACTGCCTCCCTGATGCAGAGTTTTCGCAGCTCCAGCAGGCAGAGCTCCAGGCGCTCCTCCAGAGACTGGTGCTTCAGTTTCAGAGCTCTGGTGTGGGTGGCCAGGTCCTTCACCGGCGACGTGGGGCTGTCTGAACCTGCATTAAACACACACACACACACACACACACAACCTTTCCTTTTCAACATTAACAATGAAAAACAACAAAAATAAATAAAGACATTCCACTATACTTCTGCAGCTAACAGAAAAGTTTTTATAATATTAAGATTCTCACATGAGCTGCATCTGAGAGTTTATAGAATATACAGTATGTACTTAATAAGACTATAGTTATTTATGGTTACTCATTTATAAGCCAGCACCTTTAAATACCTTCATCATAGTGTTTTTGTTCTTGTTTTAAGTTACTTGATGATGTCAGAGGGGTGTTTTATTGTGTTTAAACAAGTTCACTGTTAGTGTGCAGATACTGATGTAAACTGTAAAACTCATTTCAGCCTGAGCTATCATAAGTATTGTTATTTCTTAATGTTGCAGCCTTCATCATCACTTGAAGTTTGAACCTGATAAACACTCCTAATGAAGATTCTGCTTTTGTGTTTTCCTTACCGGAGTGTACGATGATGCCACTGTCTGTGTCGCTGATCTCCTCTTTACTCTCAGTGCTCGTCATCTTGACTTTCTGCTCACGGGTTTTTGTAACGACCTGTTGGGACGGGCAAAATTAATTCAAATGAGCAAAGTTTGATGTTTTTTTTTAAATAATTCCCCCTTTGTTTATCCTGCCACATGGCTTTATTCACTCCCCTTTGCTGCTTTACTTAACAGAAGTGAATGACTGGCGGGTGTTCTTTTTACACCCTTATCCAATCAACTCTGCTTCTCCCCCCTCCTCCTCGTTTTCTCTCCTGTGCGCAATCACAAAAGAGGCAGACCTCCGCGGCTGACTCGGCACATGTGCGGGGGGTGTTCATCTGAACTGTGGTGCCATGGTTACGGGGCACGAGGCGGCTGGCTGGGGGAGCGTGTCGCCATGAGGCGTAGAGGGCATTTAAAAAAAAAGCCCAGACCCCCAAAAAGAAAGCAGATGGCAGCGGGAATGACCCCCACTTGTGGACTGCACCTGTTCTCCCCCTCTCTGTTTCTATTCAACCAGTGTCCAGAGAGTCCTCTGGGGGCTTTGAAGTGGAAGAATGTCTCAGTGCCGGGCTTGTCCACGCGGCATCACGTCACAAGGTCCCTGCTGACTCCTGCACAACACTACCTAGTTCACTTTACGCACTGAGAGCTGCTTATGTTTAAGGCGCTGTTGTTGTTCTACAAACAGCATGTGAATGATATTAAGCAAAAAGTAGCTGCAGAGAGAAACAACAGCCAGAAGAGAAAAACAACACAAAAACCAGAAAATAATCTAAAAAAAAAAAAAAAAATCCCAGAGGATCACATTCGACAGGAAATGACACGTTAAAAAAGCTTCTTGCATAAGATTATAAACATGTAAATACCAGGTAAATTCACCTCATATTTTTCATGCCAGACTTTCAAACTGAGATCATCTTGTGATAAACGGGGATTATAAATGACAATATGCATAATCTCATGCACCGGGCAAGATTTTGAGAAGGATTTGTTAGAATTTGTAGTATGTGTTGTGGATGACTCTCAGCTACTTCCACTCCAAATTTTATCTTGATATTTTTAAATCGTTGGTTATTGAATAAAATCAGTCATGAGGATAATCAATCGGCTCCAACAGCTAATGCCAAAGTTTAAAGCGAAGATGTGTTGCACTCAAAGTATATGTACCCAAAAATGTACAATAGGTTGCCTTCAGGCCCAGGCCGCCCTTGAAAAAGAGATCTGTGATGCCTGGTTAAATAACAGTAAATAAATAAATATGCTGGGGATGACTCACAGTGCCACACTGAACTTAAGCTCAATATCTGTAATATCAGCTGAGTTATAGACTTTTTTTTGTATTATTTTTTTATAGTGAAGTGTTTTTGTTCAGAAATAACAATGATGTGTTTCTTCTGTGTAATCCTCAGCTCCTGTCTCGGCTGCTGCGTTTGGAGATTGATATCAGGCGTTTTCCTGCTGAGATGACGAGGACTCAAAGCCCACGTGAATGAGAACCTCCTCTGACAGGATATCACCGTTTATCCCACAGGTCCGACCCATTCAGCACAACAACTCATGTGAACTGACACAGCTATGAGCAACCGCTATCACAATGAGCCTATAAGCCGAGCAGCTTGAGTCAGTAAAACAACTCTGCAACAAAAGGCCTGTATCAACCGACTGGCCTCAGAAATGTGCTGTGGTTCGCGAGATCTGCTGACAGCTCTCGAGCTCGAGCAGCAATATTAGGCCGGTTACTGGGACGAAGCTGCACTGAGAGGCAGGGAGCGAAGGAGAAGGAGTGGTGCTGACTTGAGTTTTAAGCGTGCGAGGTCAAAGCCTGCTGTACTCGCMGACACATGGCTCCGTGTTGCAGCAATCCAAAACTAAAGACGTCAACTTTAATCCAGCCACAGGCAAGAGTGCTGTGGGATATACACACTCACAACCCACAAGTGTGTGAAAACTTTCACACGAGTCTGTGGTTGGGAGGGGTTTAGGCTGAGTGAGTGAGTGGGTTTGGGGTAAACTTTCACTTGGAGTTGCAGCTCAGTGCCAAAACACTAATGTCATTTGTCATCACTTTCATACGAACCTGAAGTTGTAGGAGTGTGGAGCCAAAAACACAAGGTTTCTGGATTGCGTGTGACAGGATGGGTAGTTCMTGTCCTGAGGGTATGAGTGCTGATAACGCTGTCTCCACCCGGCAGATGTAAACAAGCATCTTAATTGAGGGAAGAGTCTGATCGTCCCTAAAGATGACACAAAGATGGCTGTACCTCCCAGCCTCGCAGCTCACCGGACTGTGACCGTGTAACGTCGACGGAAGTTGATGTTTATGTCAAGACATTTCTGTCTCCCAGACTTCTCCCACCACCCTTTCCCATGAGCCTTCGGAGCTGCGTATTCCTGGACTGCAGCCACCACCTCCATGCTCATTACCACTGTGGTCGGCCCTGGAATTACCAACGGGGACCAGCTTCAGCGAGGAAACGGCGAGGGCTGCCTGAAACCAGACCGGGGCCTTGTTCGAACCCTGTAATTAAGATTCCCCACTGAATGCTGATACTATGGAAGAAACCGAACGACTTTTCAGCATGCTTTATTTCAGAGGCTGACAAAAAGCCAAAATCCATTCAGCAAAAAGGATCCACTCCAATATTGACTGCTGGGAGAAAAGTGCATCAATCAATGTGGGGAGGGCAGCAGAGAAAAGAAAAGAGGTGTTGTGTTACAATGGGAGAGCTGTTTGCCTTAAGAAGCAGTGATGAGTATTTAAGTTTTTACAGAAAGCAAAACATAGTCAAAAGTATGCAAATATCTAAAACCAGAACTCTAAAACCCTATCAGCCTCCTAAATTGACCAACTTTTATCAATAAATGTCATAAAAGTCTTAGTTTTCTTGACAGAGACAATGCAGAGGTAATAAGCGTTATGCCAGCCTGCTCCCAGTCCCTGAATGCCATATGTTGACCAGACAGCCCAGTGACAAGAAGGGATCGGCTCCATTGTTCTCCAGAGGCTGGATCGAACTCGAACATCCCTCTGAATCATCGTTCCTAAAGCCATGGTCAGTTCAGACCACTTACAGGATGTGATTACAGCTTCTTCCCCTCAAAAAACAAACAAATGAACCAGGGGGGCTCCAAGGGTAATAACAACTCAGAGGTGTGGTCTTCAGCACCACAGTATTGTTTCACATCTGTCAGCATGTGGCCCGGAGGAGATTGTGTGTTTATTCTGCTGCTGTGGACAGAAAAGTCCCACAACCTGTGCTCGTGATTCACCAATAATCAAACTATCTTTCAGAGTTTGTCTGTTTTCATCACTTGCAGCTGCTTCACCAGACAGCTTGGACAAATATTTTTATATGATTTAAAATAAAATAACAATTAAAAAATCCTATGTCCTGCTTTTAAAACTCAATGTTTTAAATACTTTATAGAAAATTTAATTCTTATGGTCAAAATATTATTTTAATTAGCAGCCATAGAAAAAAAGCAAAAATAAATGCTTTGAGGGTGATTTTGGCACATTTTTTTGTTATTTTGTACTTTTTATTACTTTTTATTTTGTACAAAATATATTCAGTATAACCATGAAAAAGGTTTTACATAACATAACATAACATAACATAACATAACATAACATAACATAACATAACAATTTACTCGGTTTATTAGTAAAAATGTTAGCTAATTAGCTACCATTTATTAGTTTTATGTAAAGTTTAGCGACTTTTTACATCAACAGACTTCATCTCCCCTAGAATATTTTCACTAGTGTTGTAATTCTGAGGTCGTCAATAACATAAAAGTTTATTTTACAAACCTTATAGAGGTGTTCTCCTCTACAGCATCCTTCCCGAGGCCGCAGGACTTATAACTTTCTCCGGTCAGATGTGAGGGAGAGAAGCCATCTGTTTCAGACCATTCCACTTTCTCAGCGCGGGGAGGGGGATTTTTTTTAATCGTTAAAATAACCTATTTTTAAAGATTAAATCTTTCTATATTCTTTAATATCAACTTTGATATTTATAGGAGTCAGCATGATTTCTCGTTTTGGAAGAATTTTTGACTTTTCGATTTATTTACTGCTAAAGATGACCCCTCCCCCCCGCGAGTTTAAAAGAAATGGTTTAGTCCGTCTCAGCTAACTTTCCAGGCACACTCTGATGTATTGACACAGCACGCGTCTGTCTGAGAGGAAGGGGGTATTTAATTTGAAAAGAAGCACAAAAGATGACTGCATTATGAGTAAAGACGAGTTATACTTAAAAATAAATACATAAAATAAAACAAACAAGTCACTCTCACTCCTTTTTTCTAACAAAAAATGCGACTAGTCCTGATAGAAATTGTGAAAATGGATGGATGCACTGATGTAACTTCAGCCTACTGAATGTTTGTAACCTATAGAAAAAAATACTTTAAGACTCGGTGATTTCATCAATAAAATGTAGGTTCACAGCTTCTCTTTATGTACAAACTTGATCAATATAAAAACAAACAAACAAACAAACAAACAAACAAACAAACAAACAAACAAACAAACAAACAAACAAACAAACAAACAAAGATTATTTTATGTAAATTTAATCAAGTTGGAGTTATTTTTCTTGTTTTGGTTTATTTGGTGTGTAGCTTTATGATTTTGCCTCTCTTGATAGTATTTATACTGTATATTCTGTGAAGTGTGAAATAAATAGGTGATACTAATTCAAACGCTGGTGCATAGTAATACAAGTTTTATTCACGTGAATTTTGTATGTTGCTACAGCGTTTTRTATACAGAAGATGTGACAAGTTTAAAAGACTTAATTTCCAGTTTTATAGACAATGTTTTGATCTAAAATATAAAATAGGTCAAGGAKAGTTTGGGTGTGCACACTGGATTTTGTGGGGATTTGACTGAAAGTTTTAAGTCCTAGAGYGGCTAAAGACATAGTTAACTGTGAAAAAAATACTTAATTTTACATTTACATTGTTTAAACTTTAAACATCATGTTTCTGCTGTGAAGTTTGAGCTATAGAGTGCTAAGAAGTGCTGGATTTTCTCACGTGTTTCTCCAAAGTCCAATTGATTTCCTATTTTTTTCCTCACATTTTCCTGTAATTTTAGTCTGTGTCCTGCAAAAAGAAAAAAAAATATTACCAAAGGCCAAAGCACATTATGAGTCAGCCTTATGTTTTGCTGTGCAATTTACATGTTTTTTTTTTTCAAAGCTTCATAACAAAATACAGGGACAAAGGTTTTGAAGAGGCTAGTGATAATGATGCTGCAGACAGTGATTACCTTGATCTGCCTGTAAAAGTTATTTTCAGCTCTGTCATTTTGTATGTGAAACCCTGACAAAATAACCTGATGTTTGAAGCAGCTATTTCAACAACCTTCAGCTGGTGGCTTCTGCGACTTTCCCAAATGTCTGCAGTCTCTTTTACCAGGCCCTTGGGTATTCCTATAGGCTAAAGAGGCTCCACCAGATGGCCTGTCCTTTTGCTCCGCTCGACCCGTGATGGAATGAAAAGATTAGCTAATTAAACAAAGTCCCATATCCATGTGAAAGAACTGGGAGSGTCCTCTGGGAGAGGAGCTGCCTGCAAATCACCCCCCACCCCCCCAATCCCGAGCTTTGAATTGTGTCCAATGCAGCAAAGCATCACTCCAAACCATAAAGCCTTTTATTTCCACTGCACACACAGACACACTCATCAAAAATCAGGAGAAACAGGTAAACAAATGTGTAATTTTTGTAATGTTGGAGGGAAATTGTTTTTGATACAAAACAGTGAGAATGTTTCTGCTAGCAGTAATTACCTGGTTAATAACAAACAGGCTGATATGATACAACCAGCAGTTAATTTTGCATCACAATCTGAGAAACGACTTCAGTCTGAACACTGGTACTTATACCAAACTAAAATGAATCAACATGCAACTTTTTACTTAAAAATAAAATAGTTGAGCACTTCATTTCCTCACCAGAAACAAAAGTTTTAAGAAGAAATGTCAAAAAAATGTATTACATTTAAATCTGCATGCATGATTCCATACTAATTTGTCTGAGTTGAGTCGTCAGAAACTATTAGTTGTTGTCTCTGGTAGGTTGGTTTGTGTAGCTCGGTAGGCAGTGAGCATAAAGGTTGTAGGGCCACARTGGTGAGAGGCTGCACCGGCTGCTGGGAGCCACTCAGGGCTGCTCAAAAGTCTGTGTACGCCTCAGTTTGTCCCGGACACGGACAAACTCTGGGATCTTCTGCTCCTTCTCTCGTTGTCTTATCTCTTCCTGCTCGTACTGATGGCGGGAAAAAAAGACTGTTCAGTAAACAGACTCACAGTCAGCTTCACGGTATTGACAGAAAAATGAGAGTTTAGGACCAAATTCTGTTTAAAGATTAAAACTTCTGAGAACTAAGAGAAAAAAATTATTTCCACAACACTTTCCACATGAAAGACATTTTCCACTACCTCTTTACTTACCAGGTGAGAAGATACATACCTTGTTAGTTCCTAGTACTTACTTATGCACCAAGGATGAACATACCAAATACTGTATGTGCATAGCAAGTCTGTACATACCAAGTGAATATGTACTAGGTATTTACCCTTCAAATACCAGGTACAAACTCTACATGTATCATGTGCATATACCCACTACATATACCATGTAAGTCCCTGAAATAAATCCTGTAATTTCCATGTATAAAGACTGTAAGTACCAGGAATGTACCTGGTATGTAACCTGTCAGTACCAAGTATGAACCCTGTAAGTAACAGGTATGTACATAGTTAGTACCCAGTGAGTTCCAAGTATGTGCCTTGGAAGTACCTCTTAAGTGTGTGTATATCCTGTCAGTACCAGATGGGTACCAAGTATGTACCAGGTAAGTACCAGGTATGTATCTAGTTAGTACCAGGTATGTACTCCATCAGTACCCGGTAAGTACCAGGTATGCACCTTGGAAGTACCTCTTAAGTCTATGTAACCTGTTCGTAACAGGTGGGTACCAAGTATGTACCAGGTAAGTACCAGGTGTGTACCTAGTTAGTACCAGGTATGTACTCCATCAGTACCAGGTAAGTACCAGGTATGTACCTAGTTAGTACCAGGTATTTACCCCATCAGTACCATGTACGTATCTTGTAAGTACCACTTAAGTAACAGATATGTATTCTGTCAGTACGAGGTAAGTACCAGGTTTGTATCTATGTAGTACCAAGTAAGTACCAGGTATGCATCTAAATAGTACCAGGTAAGTACCAGGTATGTACCTAGGTAGTACCAGGTATGTAATACCACACAAGTACCAGGTATGTACCCCATCAGTACCAGGTATGTACCTAATTAGTACCAGGTAAGAACCAGGTATGTACCTTGTAAGTACCACATAAGTAACAGGTATGTATCTTGTCAGTACCAGGTAAGTACTAGGTATGTTTCTTGTCAGTACCAGGTAAGTACCAGGTATGTACCCCATCACTATCAGGTGTGTACTCTGTAAGTACGTAACAGGTATGTACCCTGTAAAAACCAGGTATGTACCTGGTTAGTACTGGTTATGTACCCTGTAAGTACCAAGTATTTACTTGGTGTGTGTCACTTAAGTACAGTGTTACGAGTCACTTCATAATACARTTGGGTCTACATAGAAATGTACTCAGGATTTAACTTGTAACAAATACGTACCCAGTACTTACCAGCTCATATTATGTTTTTTACATAAATTTTAGCACAAAAAGCTTATCTAAATGTGAAACTGCTGAAGTGTGAAACTGTTGTTGAGTAACTTCAGTTTCTGACCTCCTGCAGCTTCTGCTGCCTCTTGCGGAGCTCCGTCTCCAGATCTGAAGGCCTTTGTCGAGCCATCTCCTCCTCCTTGTGCAGCTCCAGTCTGCGCTGCTCCAGAACTCGCTTCAGCTCCGGTTTCTCCTCCAGCAGCAGGCCCCTGAGCAGGTGGTCAAGGCCACAGTTAGGCTCCAAAACAACACACTGGGACCATCTATCCAGGCTCAGTGTAAGGCAGTGTTTGACCAACCGTTTGTGGCTCAGTAGCAGCTCTCGGTGCAAATTCTGGTAGCTGGGAATCTCTGCCGAGGAGCCGTTGAGCTTTTTAGGTGGACTGATTTCAGCACCGCCGGAGTCTGCTGCAGAGTTACGAGACAGAGGCAGATGGCCTACGGGGGTTTCTAAAACAAAGAGGAAGAGCGTCAAATTTTAACAACTTAGATAATATTATCACATAAACCTTTAACTGCACTGCCATCAATAATTCTTTCATGGTCTGAAAGATGTTTTATAAATACAGTATTCAAAGCAAACCATCAAATCATTTTGTCTTGTTAATATTTGCTGATATATTCTGAATAATTAGGATGATTTTATCGAACCAACGACTGTCTAACACCAATAGTAGTTGATTTAGTTATTCCAGCATTTAAAAACACTCATCAAACTACTCAGACATCTTCCACAAAACGATGATAGTTTCAGTGATCACATTTCAAACTTCTGTTAGCTGAATGTGAACTGGTTGTATTTTAATTCACAGGAAGTTTATGTGCATTTTTGATACCTTTTTTGTTTGGTCCATATCCAGGTTTCTGTGAATTTGTGAAAGAAAGACAACAAAAACGTCAGTTTTCCCTCAAATTAAAAACTTCACAGCCAAAAATTGAACCAAATACGTCTCTGATGAACCAGAACTAATTTGCAGAATTACCTCGGTTTTGATCATCTCCTTAGACAAAGGTTAAATTTAGACTAGAGTTAAAAGTGACAGTGCCTGACGTGCTGCTTAAGCAGGTGATCTGTGTTTACAAAGGTGACATAACAGCTGTCCTCAAAGACTCGCGCAGGTTTTGGCCTGACTGCGATGGTCTTTGGCAAAGCGAGAATATAACTCTACAGGCGATCAAAAAGAAGAAAGAAGTGACATGTTGGTAACACGTTTCACTCCAAACTAAACAACAGGGAATGAAAACTTGACATCCTCCTGTGGCGCAATCAGGCAGAAACCATTACAGAACCTGGTGAAACCAGATAACCTGGAGAAAAGGATCCCACAAAGGCAGCAGCAGATGGTACATGGTCAGAGTCCAGGCGACTGAGTTCTTTCTCTGTCACACACACCAATTTAAAAAAAAGAGAGTTTCTGTCAAAAACTGTCCAATAGCTGAGCATTCGGATCCTTCTGGCTTGGTCTCTGGGGATTGAAACTCTTTTCACGGATCCTGCAGGGGACATACAGTAAGCCTCCACATCCTGTCTCTATGCCAGGCTCCTGCAGGAAACATGAGCTGCCAGGTGTCTGACCTGACCGAAGCATTGTTCCAGTCAGGACCTGCAGGACTCAGGTGGATTACAGAGAAAATTCTGTCTGTGGCTAAAAAAAATAAAATAAAATGCATGTCGTTCATCGAGACAATATTAAATTGATTTCAGTGACTAAGACAGGTGTTTGATTCAAAGATCAGCACATCTCACCTGTTTTTTCAGGCTGTCAGTGCTGGTCTAGAAAAAAGCTCTTGGATATTTATTTTATCTAAGACCTTTTTTAAGCTACTTTCAGTTGTACAATTTTATGTTCTAACACATRTAGCTCAACCTGTTCCTGAGTAAATAAAACAATCAATCAATGTTTATGAGGACCAAAAAAAAGCTGAATGTTTAATGGTTACTCATTGATCAAAAAGTCAAACACCACTCACTGTTCCAAACAAAGGGAGTTAAATAGATAATAAGGTATTTATTTGGCATCAGATTTAGAAACCTTAGCTTGTCAACAAGACTGAACAGTTTCCTTAAATGAATGAGCACMTAAAACGTCCATCAAAATCAATCAGGACTGTAAACTCAAGTCAGATAACCCATCAATACAGGCCTTTAAACCCTGACCTCTCACCCAGTCGTAAAAAGAAAAAAAAAATAACCAGCAAGAACTCACTTTTCTTACAGCTGACCCCTCCATGGCAGGATGGTGGAGGTCTGCTGTTTCTGTCCTGTGTCTGTGTCCCTGTCTCAGTCCATCCTTGGAGAAATCACATGTCCTCCCTCAGTCTTGACTGTTCCTTCTTCTCCACCCAAGGTCAACATGTTGTTGTGGAGGAACTCAAACGGACTTGGTGTGCTGTAGCAGTGGTCAACTGTGGTAGTAGAAATCTCATTACGCCTTTTAAGATTACCTCACAACCCCCACACGTGGAATTAATGCTRAATTAGTTAATCGCTGCAGACGCAAATACAGCTTAAAACTGAGGCGGCACAGTAGTCGACTGATCTCCCAGCGAACCTGCAGAGTTCTGAGTAAAATAAATAAATACATTTTTACATGTTTGATATATTTAAACTGTGTTGTTTAACAAAAACTTTTAAAAGGATCAACCCAATTGTGACTCTATGTTTTATCTAAAGACTTGTCTGAGTCATGTTATTTACCTATAGGGAAATTTTGCTGTTGTACTTTATTTATGTTACATTACCAGTCATTCTGTTATTGCTGAGTCACTTTAGTTTTACAGTTTATACATCTTTAAATRCATTTTGGACTGCAACTACTTCTGTTTTACAGCTATTTATGTTGTGCTGGTTTTAAMTTTTGTTTGTTGTTTTGCTCTTTTTAACTCTTATTCTTTTACTAAAACAAGWTTTATATTACTGTTGTGCCAGTTTTAGTTTTACCTGATTTTAGTTTTAAGTTACTGTTTCTCCTAGTTTTAGCTTTAACCCATTGCTTTGCTGATCTTAGCTTTTAGTTCCACCCCATTTTAGCTTGTTAGTGTTTTTCAGCAATTTCAGCCTTCACATTGCATTTTACCCGAAAACCCAACTTCTATAATTGTTTTAGTTTTTAGAAGAAAAAAAAACAAGATAGTGTACATAGTGTATACTGTGTACTGTGGTACAAAGATAAGAGTTTCATTGATGGTCTGGGACAGTTCAATCTAAGATGTGCTTGCTTTTGTTAGGATAATATAGGCCAGTGTTTCCCAAAGTTGGGGTCGGGATCCAAAGTGAGGTCCTGAAACTTCAAGGTGGGGTCCTGAAAAGATTTTTGGAATTAATTACATTTTTGCGTTATTTGTTACAAAGGAGTGAGGTTAGTTTATTTAAAATGGATAAATGTAGTATAAAAATATTGTTACTATGCCCATGTTTTGTTGACCTGTTAATAGTTGGGGGCACAGGTCTCTGCTACTGATATTTTGTGGGTCAAAAGCTGAAAAGTTTGGGAACCACAGCAATTTGGTTCCCAAAGTTGGACTTGGGACCCAATTCTGGGTCATGAAGCACCTT